CAGTAGTTATTGTTAAATCAGCTGCACTAGATACGAGTTGGAGATACCCAGCACCAGGTTAAATTCCAATCATTAAACCAAGAGATTAATTAATGCTAGTGAATACTAAGTAGGGAAGGGGAGTCACCAACCCAGCCATGTTGGACATGCTACAGACTACCAGCTCTCATGGATGGGTCACTGGGGACAAGACAAACTCCATGCTATTTGCTACATCTCTGGAAGAGGTCTGAGGCCTGGCTGCGGGTCACTTCGCAGGGTCCTTTAGAGCCGGACCGGCCTACGCTCGCCCAGGGGGAGAAGGACGCTTTGCCCTCCCCAGGTCTGGGGTGTAGCGCTCCGGGAACCCCCCCAGGAAGAAGGTGGATCTTTTGCAGTGAAAGGCCCCCCCACACACAACAGCAGCTAGGAGGCTCGGGTTCCGCCGTGTTCGCCCCTCGCCCTGCAGTCAGTGCCCTGGAGCTGCGGCCCCTCACAAGGCCAGCAGGGTCGGGGAGCTGAGCGAGTCGGAGGAGGGCTCGTTGCTGCTACTGCCCTTCCTGTGCGCGGCTGCACAGCTGGGGAAGGAGTCGGCCTCGGGGTAGGTGAAGACGAAAGTAGAGGTGTAAGTGCTGGGGCAGGGGGTGCAGGTCACCACCGGGGTGCAGAGCGGCTCCAGCTCCCCGCACGCCCCGGCCGCCAGGGGCTCCCAGTCCGCCGTGTAGAAGGATGAAGAGCCGGACAGGTCCATGTCGGGCACGGAGCGGGCAGTCTCCCTGGACGAGTGCGGGAAGAGGAATTCATCGAAGGGCTCGGGCTTCAGCTCCAGGCTGCTGCTTGCTTTGGGAGGCTCAGGGAGGGGCTCGGGCTGAGCGGCCTCCTGCAGCATGGGCAGGGCGAAGGCGGCCTCCTCAGACTCCGGGGGGCTGGGCACAGGCGCCTCGCCCAGGCCGCTGAGGTCCAGCGAGGAGACAGCGAGCTCCTCGGAGAACTGCAGCTCCTCGGGGATCTTGCAAGCTGGCCGGTGCGCAGCCAGGATGAACTCGAGCTTCTCTTTCTCCTTCAGCAGGTTAGCGATCTCGGTCTGCAGCGTGGACTTCTCCTCCTCCAGCTGATCGGTCTCCTGCGGGCACAACGAGAGGGGAGTGAGACACAGAGCATCAGCCGTGCCCAGTGCCCCTGGGGGGAGGGGGTGGACGACAGGTACTTCCTGCCCGGCTTGGGGTAGGGGTCTGAGCGAGGTGGGGGCTAAGAGAGGTGGGGGGAGAACTTACCGCTTGCAGCGTGTCTGTCAGTTCTCGCCTCCGGTTGCGGCACTTCGCTGCTGCCATCTTGTTCCTTTCCCTCCTGATCCTTCTCTTTTCCTCTTCCTCTGGGGACAGCTGCGGAGGGAGAACGAGCACCGTTAGTATCCACTGCCACCCCTCGCCGATGATCCCTGGCAGCCCCACCACCCCCAGACCGAGCTCCCTCTCCGGGTGTCCGCCGCCGGAGCCATATTGAACGTGCTCTCACAGACTGCGTGAGACTTGCATGTCAAGTTAGGTCCTGAGCAGGAGAACAAAGCGAACTCCGGTCCCTCGGACAGTCCTATTGGAGCTGAGCCGGGTTATCCCTGGTTGTCACTCTCCCCTCCCAATTCAATGCAACTGTTGGGGCAGTGTCTGCTGACAGCTCTCTAAGAGCCACTAAGCAGAACTAGCCCCTCCTCTATTCCCCCTGCCCAGATGCTACTTTGGGGTGATCGCAGAGAGCTGTGTATTCACCTGTTCGATTTTGCCCCTTCTGCCAATGCTTTGTCCTCTGCCTCCTGTACTTTTGACAATGCCAGCCCTCGAATAGGCGCTGGCTGGAGAAGTAGGGACCCCGTAGGGATGGGCCCGGTTCTGGGATGGTGCCACTGAAGAGATTAAGGTGGGCTGCACCAGCCATTGCAGATCTGGACTTGTGGAGATGGCAGTCACTGTCGGTACGAAGTTGGCACTGGAGACAGCGAGGTCCGTGCAGAAATCCTGAAAACACAAGGGAACTGATATTAGGGAGAGACATATAGAACTAGATAAGGGGGAACCCCCTGCCCTGCACCCCCTCAGCAGACTGTATCCGACACAGTGCCCCAGAGGCTTAATTCTGTGCTATTTTAAGCCAGGCCTGCAGCCCCCGGAGCCAGGCTGGCTCAGGCGCTGCGCTACCATCATCAGACTCCACATGAAAAGGGGGTTTGTTATAAATATCCCTGACGTCTGCACTGACGCAGGCGCCGCTCCGGAGTCTCCTCAATGAACTCTCGTTTTATCAATGAAACTGCTTTACACACCCGCTGCAGAGCTGAATCTGGGCCACAATCCCCCTTCCCTGGGCAGGGCCCGTGGCCACACTGCGGTTTCCCCCACATCCCAGGGTAACCCAGCCCCCACTAACTCCCCAGGACAGGGGACTAGACTGCGGTCTCCTCCCCCCCTCATGCACAGGCAGCCAGGAGAAGAGGTGCACCCCGTGCAGGACAGACCCTTCCTGACGTGGGGGGTCATCTCTGCACCTAAGCTGCCCTGTCTATCCGTGTGCGATGGTTGGAGGCGCAGACAATTCCCCTCTGCGACTCTCCCACCCCTCAGGCGTCACTGCCCCGTAGGCAATCACCAGCCAGAGTCCCGGTCCCTCACCTGCTGGTTGACAGGCGAGCCCATGCTAGAAAAGGAATCCGCCGGGGAAGTGTAGTAGGTGAGGCTATCCCCGGCCGGAGAAGCACTGCTGCAGCGGGAAGAAGACGCGTCATAGTCGGTGGTGAAGCCCTGGTACATCATGTCGGCTAGGCTAAGATTGTCCAAACCCCGTCTGGGCGGTGAGGCTGTCCCGGTTGATTGTCTGTGTGTCTGTCCGGGCTGACTGTCCCTCTGTCCGTGCAGGCGGGTTTCTCTGTCCCCAGCCGTATCTCTCGTCTCTTTCCCGTCTCAGTCACTCAGATTAGCTCTGCTGCTAGAGTAGAGTGCGGCGCCCCAGCCTTTTAAACTGTCCTTTTCTGAATGCATCCTATGTCACCACTGGCACATCCAAAGCCTCGGGGGGGGATGGCGGGGATACGCCGCCTCTAAGCTTTCCCCACAACTCCCGCCTCCCTCCTCCATCTTTTACGTACTCCATTGCCCCCCACGCCATGTCAAGGTGGTTACACTGAGGGTCTTCAGGGGACCTGGGCCGCTCAGGGACAGGGAAGGCTGTTGGTGTCCCCCCTTCCACAATGGTACAGTCCCAGCTCGGGAACCCACTGACGCAGATATCCTTATATGGGATACATCCTGTGCAAGGGGGTGTGACTGACGGGAACCGCTCCAGGCTGCAGCCAAGTGAGGCGCGCGCGCGCGCGACTGTGTGTGTGTGTGAGAGAGAGAGAGAGTGGGCAGATTGTTCAGCACTGAATACACTGCAGCAACAGGTCCTCCTGATGAGGCGGCGGGCCACGCATAAGTTGCTGCAATAGCGCCCCTCCCTCCCACAAGGAGAATCGTGTTAGGTTAGTTACAGAAGCCTCCGCTGAGTTTATTCACCTTTCCAGAGGTGACTTTTACAGACCAGCTCCTGCCATCTGCACCTGCTTCCTCCCACCCCCATTCAAATATTTCTAAACAAGTTCGGCTGTTGCTATGATCACATGGTATTAAACTTGCTTGTCACTTTACAGACAAGTCTGAAGACAAGGTCCCTGCCCCGAGGGACTCAGCTGTCTTAATAGACAAAATACAGAGGAAGGCTGGGAAAGGGGAAATGCGGCATGAAAGCAATGTGAGTGAGCAGGGATATAAGGCCAGTCTTGTTAGTTCCATTATCTTTATTTTATTGTTAACGTTTGTTTTAATATCACAAGGTAAGCTAGGTAGCTTTCTTGATGCTTTTTAAAGGTGGATGGAAAACAATTGTCTTTACTATTATTTAGGGAAGAAGGTTTGTTGTGTTTTGTTGCTTGTTAGGGGAACTTTTAAATTATAGTTTAGAGGTTAAAGAGTTATTGATGATGAAGAAAGGAATAGTTGAGTTGGGAGCGTTGTTTTGTTTTGTAGGTGACAAGCCCATATTTTGTGTTGTATTTTTATCCAACATATTTAAGGATCTGGTGTTGTCTTAGTTACAATTTATCTAACATTTCATGTTGGAGTCCAAGTTTGAGTTTCTAAGTTAATATGTGCATTCCATATAATAAGTCTGTTAATGGTATACAAAGTGTCATAAACTAAGTAGATTTCTTCACACCCGTATAACAATTTTCTTTGTTGTGTGGTACTGCCATTACAGGGAGCCTGATACTGTGCCTTTCACTTTTATAACATTTTAAAGTATTTGGGGAAAAGTTATCACATTTTTTGTTCATCTTTAAAATGCTTTTATATAACGAAACTTGCAACTGGCGGAACTATGTTTAATACATATCTCACACATTTTCTGCATTTAGTTTTATGAGCACTATAAAAAGAGTTGTTATCTAGTGATTATCTGTGCAATGGGCCTTATCCAAAACCCATTGAAGTCAACAGTAAGACTCCCATTGACTTTACTGGGCTTTGGATCCAACCCATACCATGGTCCAGGTTTCTAATCCATCCACGAAAATATCATATCTCTTGCAAAGATTTGAATAGCATCTGTTTGTATCCAAGCAGACAATGGTGCAAGTTATACCTGATATGTGAACATATAATACTTTAGATCATATCCATATTAAATTATTTCTTAAAAACAATATTTATTATACAACAAAACCCAACAAACTTAGTTACAAAGTAAATCAAATGCTGTGTATCCCAGTTGGTGTTATGGAGCAGTTACTCACTAAAAGAACACACACATTTCATTGTAAGTAAATCCCTCTCCCTGGCTCAGAATTATATCTGTCTATACTTTGGGATTGGAATATTACAGAATGTACATGTGGAAAATATAACCTCCTCCACTTCCTGCAGAGAGGAAAATGTTACACTCATGTGTAATTATTATTCATGTTGTTATTAAATATGCAGAATAAAAACTGAGAATAGGGTTAATAATGAGCACAGGTAGAAGTGTTAGGAGTTAAAGTCTATCCAGTGCTATGAAGGAGTAAGGTGCTACCCGGGAGGTTATTGTTATTTATTGTACATTGAACTTCCCAGAAAAGCTGCATACAAGAGAAGGGTGAGGGAGTTGCTGGGATGTGTCCTGTGCCATGGTGTGCAGACAGGGGGCTGCTGGCCTGGGAGACCGCCAAACAGCGGCGGTGTTAGGCAGAGGAGGTTTCTCCTTTCCCAGAGTTTGGGTCTGATATAATCTTTGTGGCAGCGAAGTTCAGAGACACCCACCCACGGCGGGGATGTCAGGCAGCCCTGGCTCAGGTCAGGCCAAGCCAGGAGCCAGACCGCAGACTCGCCTCGCACGGGAGCCAAGAGATCGCGGCTAAACATAGTAACAGAGAAGCTGCAGCGCTGAGTCTGTTTACAGCAACAAACAGAGCCTCGGGCGCAGTCTCCAAGCAGGGAACGTCACAGAGCCAGGCTGGGATGATCCTGCTGGCAGTAGCTCCTGCTGTCTGAGCTCATGGGCTAAAAGCAGCGCCTGTTGCTGCGGCGCGGTCACCTCCATTCTTAGAGATCTGGGCCACGGGGGCGGTGGAACCGGGCCAGCGGCTATGTCAGAGCAGCAGTACTGGCGGCCCCATTACATCGATTCTTCTCGCGGGTGGAGGGGAGCTGCTCTGTCCTCTTCTGCAACCCCTGCCCCTGGATAATCTTGCTCTGTCCCTGGGGGCTGGGCTCCTCCAATTCTGCCCCAGCGACAAGGTAGCCAGAGACCTGATGCAACCCCCCCCCCGGCAATGTTCGCAGCTGACCTGGCTTCTTTCAGGCAGAGGGCAGAGCTGGAAAAGCCCCTTAAATTTTAGTCCCACTCCCATTTAGTGTATGACAGGGGCTCTGGGCAGAACTGGGCCAAGCAAAGTGGGGCTGAACATCGCGGCAGACTAAGCTCTGCGGGGCAAGGAGCTTGATCTTCATTTTTGTCTGTAAAACAGCCGTAAAAACAACAGGCCCGTGAAAGATCATCACACCCAAACCTTGGCTTCATTAGCACAAAACTGAGCAGCCAGGGTAAATATTTGCTGCTGGGTCTTTCCTCTATTGGGCTCCCAGCCTGACTCCCCCTCTATTGCCAAGGAGAATTGTATTCTATTCTGATGTTTATATCAGACTAATCCCCATGGTATCTGAATGCCTCTAATGTAGATACTTTGAAATCCAAGTTCAGATTCTGTGTATTTAGAGGAGTCTTTCTATCAGCCCAACTACTTTCTGAGATGTATCCTTGCTGTAAAGTACCAAGAGATGCTCACTAGACAAAACAAACCATCAAAGAAGGGCCTAGAAGGGGGGGAAGGGGAGGAGGGTTCACTTAGCTGAGATCACAAAATATTTGTTGACAAGACATGTGTTTGGTGCCTGCAGATGGAAGCTGGTTCTTCCCATCTCCAACAGCTATTGTGTGTACTCTGTTTGTATCAAATGGAAAGTACTCAGACGCTGCACATATCTAGCATGTGTCTATGAAGACAAGGAAACAGGGAAACCGAAACACATGACGTGGGTTTGTTGTTTCCTCCGAGCGTGGTGCGCATACATTTATACCACAGCATGTGAGAGACAAAGGAGAAAGGCAACTCCTGTCAACAAGCACCACCATGGAGACAAAATATAGTCATAGCATAAAACCACACTGTCCACATGGCTGGGCCTGAGCTCACTGCTTGCATGGCCAAGATTGTTCTTTCTGCTATGACATCCTCAGCTCACCACCACACAATCTGTATTAGCATAGCAGTGCCTAGAGGCTCCCCAAATGAGATGGTGCCACCACTGTGCTAGGTGTTGTACATACATATACCAGGAGACCGTCCCTGCCCTAAAGAGCTTACATGGCCACACAGTACACAGAAGATTGATGGTAGAACCAACCAGGAGTAGAACACACATATCCTGAGTGCCAGTCCAGTGCCCTGTCTGCTGGATCAAACTGCCTCTTTACACAGCTGGGACAACAAACACTTTTGTGCCATCTCTGTGGACGGGGCAACACAGCACCAGGCTGTCCATGTGGCCAGGCCATCTTTAGCTTGGCCATCATTTACATCTACATTTATACAAGATAAAGGCCCAGAGGCTATAAAAGGTGGAAGCAGCCCCCAATGGCAGCTTGGACCATGCACAGCCAAAGTGAAGGGCGGAAGGAGTGAGGAGATTAGTGGTTCAAAGGTTTTGCAGGGGAGGTTAAGACCAGATCCTACTTTAAACTGCTACAGCTGAATCCCATCTCCTCAGACTACAAAGTGCAGAATTTAGCACTGAAACTTTTATTGTGTGGTCTGTTTTCAATCCTTTTCTTATTTTTAGTTCATATGTGAGTTTGTTAAGGCCTTAAAGGCCACAGCAGAAAAGCACCCGAGGAATGTAGTACAATGTAATGCACAGTGTAAGTCAGCCTCTGGGGCTGGAGACAGTTAAGCCTAGTTTTTGCTGCTCACTGGGGGAAAGTTCACCCCAGTACTGTAGTGTTTCTCCTGGCACTTGACAGGAATAACCCTGGTGCTACTCCTCTGTCAACTAACCACACAGAATGGAACCATGCTTCACTTTCCACATCAATATGGTGACACTAATGCGCCTGTAGCTAAACATGAGCTGTTGATTTTGGGGGTGTTCCAAGCTGTCACTGTGTGACAAGGGGACACTTTGCTTGCTGGAACTAAAAAAGACTGCCAGAATTAAAATACTCTGCAGGACTGAAACATGCAGACTGAGAAACCAGTTACTGAATTACCAAGCTCCCTCCCTATCTGATTGGAAGATCCTATGGTGCTACAGATTGTAACAGTGGTAACCTACACTGAAAGCTTATCAGGGCTGGAACCATGTCTTTTATTTTTCTTTCAAATACTGGGCACACCTATGGCACTGTCTAAATAATAATTAATAATAATAGCAGCTGCATGTGATTG